ACTTCAATTAACAATTTTGAGTAACAACGTATTAAAAATTAGATCGATCATCCTGAGCGAACTAAGTTAATAAACTGATTCAATCAATTTTTCAGTTTAATCATTTAATTGGACCAACCAATAGACTGATTCCATGATCTGATTGACCGGTTGGATTTTTCTACAATTGTGAATACTTGGGATATATTACCATGATTTTTTCCAAATACAAGTACTAGATTTTATGAGCCCACTCATTCTTATAAGCTAAATAGGGCAAGCCCAATGTGTCCTGGCCAGTTTTCCCACCTCTATCTCCTTGTGCCCTAACCGTCTAAGAGCTTCCTCCACCCAAAACTTTCACATTAGAATGGATTGTCATCTCTTTTTTTTATATTTTATTTTACACAATTAAATATGTTCATGCATACAAACAAAGTCGAAAGTTCATATTCTTCCGTCATTGATAAAAAATTTGTTGGAAAATACTCAACATAGTTACCACAAAATATACAGATCCCAAAATTAATACTGTAATTAAGCAAGCGTTTCTTTCGAGTATCAATTTCCAATTTCATTCAACCACGGGTAGATCTATAGGACATACACGAACACATACTTCACAAGCAATGCATTTATCAAATTCAAAATGGATTTGACGTGGTGAAATAGACATGTTTGTAAAATGCAGACTACCTGCACCGAAACAATTTGCTGTTTACGGATTGTCATCTATTTGAGCTTGCATACTAATGAAACATTTGGACCCTCTTAACAAAAAATTTTGGCCTTCAAAATTATAGAACTAAATAGCAAAATACTTTGCCCTTGGCCCATTGTAATTTTAGGTTAAACAGCATCCCCCTCACTGAAATCTCTCTCTTCATGGAGTTGGGTCCGTTGAATATGTTGTAAGGTTAGAAAGAAAACAAGAACAAGAAAGATCTGATTAAATTAATATGTTAATTGTAATGGTGATTAAATTAATTTACTAAATTGTAACCATTAATTAAATATTAATTAATCTGTAAAGAATGATAAAGACTGGTAAGATCCCTCGCAACTAGGCATCATGGCAAGCCCAGCTGTGTGGTGGCAGACAGATTTTCTCACCTCTCTGACTGCTCTCCGAAGAAAAATCCTTTGTTTAAGGATGATGTATACTTCAGTAAATTAATATTTAGATGTGTTTGTAATTAAAAAAATTCAGGCATGCAAAAAACTATAATTTAGAATCTGAATTGTAATAACTAAGATGTTTTTAATATAAATATATTGGAAATAATATTCTTTAAGAATAAATAAGATCAGATTTTGACGGATTTGGATTCAGTTCAGATTGTCCTATATTTAGGATAACTTTTCCTAAAAAAATAATTTTTACGTTTATGTAAATTTATGTCTCTAATCTCTTGCTTAAGTAATAATAGTTTTTTATTAGAATCAATATTGGTTAAAAAAATATTTACAATAATTAGTGGGCTACTTTTCCAGAACGGGGGCACCATGTGAAACTTTTCAGAATCCGCTCACTTTAGTGGGTTTAATTCATTGATATCATTCTGTCACACACTTATATATATATAGAGAGAGAGAGAGAGACCATGCTGCCACATGGAGAAGATCTCTCTAAAAGTCAACATTGGTTCTCTTGTCTAGTGTAGTTTTGCGCTTCCAAGCTTGTGAGCGCCACATCACGAGTCTAATACTGTTTATGTTTGGATTTGAAATCAATATACTATTTCTATAGATTTATATAATGAATTTGTAAAAAAAAAGACATATAATAAATTTGACAAGGCATATATTTGATACTATCTCATATATTTGGTGTTGGGTGTGCATTAATGGCTCCTTGACCTTAGCTTGCAATTTGAAAAACATACACAAATATGATAGGAAATAAAACTTAGGGAACATTTCATTTAAGGATTAGAGAAGAGAATTTATATTAGTCAATCCAAAAACATTCCGAAATATCACTGCAAGACCAAAGGACAAAATTGAAATTAAAAATAAGAGGAAGATTATAATAATACCCCTTATTTTTATTTTTTTAAAAAAATAAATATTAATTAACGCTACGATTCCGGCCACCGGCACTCAGGTGGCTATCATCGGAGGTTGGACCTTCGGTGGCTAGAATTTTTTTAAAAAAAAACAAAATGGCCAAAAAAAGGTTTGAACTCATGACCTCTTAGCACACCGAAAGTGTTGTAACCACCAAGCCAAGTAAGCCATTCAATTATATGATGCAAATAAAAATATATATAATAAAACAAATACAACTGTCTAAGTATAAGTGAATAAGTGAAATTCGACGATTTACAAGTGAAATTCACTAATTTATAACAAAAATTAGGCAACTCACAAATAATATAATAGAATTCACAACTCCAAATACAAGTATTTACGTGCAAATGAACAAGTGAAATTTGAAGATTTACAACAAAATTTTATGGATTTACAACCCAAATTTGGCTATTCACAAGAAACACAAGAGAATTCACAACCTAAAATAGTAGTGTTTAAGTGTAAGTGAACAAGTGAAATTCGACAATTTACAAGTAAAATTTAGCAATTTACAATAAAAATTTGACAATTTACAAATAACATAATGGAATTCACAATCCCAAATATAAGTATTTAAATGTAAATGAGCAAATGAAATTTGAAGATTTACAACAAAAGTTTATATATTTACAACTCAAATTTAGCTATTCACAAGAAATGCAAGAGAATTCACAACCCAAAATGTAAGTGTTTGAGTGTAAGTGAACAAGTGATATTTGGCAATTTACAAGTGAAATTCAGCAATTTACAAATAACATTATGGAATTCACAACCTCAAATACAATTGTTTAAGTGTGAATGAGCAAGTGAAATTATCGAATTTCACTTGTAAATTCATAAACTTTTGTTGTAAATTTTCATATTTTACTTATTTATTTACACTTTAAACACTTGTATTTGGTGTTATGAATTCCATTATGTTATTTGTAAATTGCCAAATTTTTGTTGTAAATTGCTGAAATTCACTTGTAAATTGTCGAATTTCATTTGTTCACTTACATTCAAACACTTACATTTTGGGTTGTGAATTATCTTGTGTTTCTTGTGAATAGCAAAATTTGAGTTGTAAATCCATAAACTTTTGTTGTGAATCTTCAAATTTTACTTGCTTATTTGCGCTTAAACACTTACATTTTGGGTTGTGAATTCTATTATATTATTTTTAAATTGCCTAATTTTTGTTGTAAATTAGTGAATTTCACTTGTTCACTTGTATTTGGATAGTTGTATTTATTTTGTTATATATATTTTTATTTGCATCACATGATTAAGTGGCTTGCTTAGCTTGGTGGTTATATTATTTTTAGTATGCCAAAGGGTCATGGGTTCAAACCTTCCCTTGACCATCTTGTTTTTCAAAAAAAAAAAAAAATCCAGCCATCGGAACTACAGTAACAGCTACCGGAGGTCCAACCTCCGACAGCGGCCACCTAAGCGCCGATGGCCGGACCTCTGACTTCCGGTGGCTGGAATAGTAGCATCTATTAATATTTATTTTTTAAAAAAAATAAAAATGAGGGGTATTATTATAATCTTACTCTTAATTTTAATTTCAGTTTGGTCTCTTGATCCTGCAATGATATTTTATAATGTTTTGGGGCTTGACTGATATAAATTCTCTTCTACATCCTTAAATGAAATTTTCCCTAAAACTTATGTTTTATTATTATACTTTTTTCTCAAATTTAACACATATTTGTGAATGTAAATTTTTTTTTGGTTATAATTTGTGAATGTAAATTACTTAAATTAAAAACTCTCAAATGAGACACTTGCTAAGTAATGATGATGAATTATTAGCGTTATTATTCTCCTTTTTTTTTTTTGAAAAAATCGTAAAAATTGCATACATAGATTTGTGTACAAAAATTGTTATCATTTACTTATGAATTATTGTCAAAACTAATATTAATGTTGTAACGGATTCCTATTTACAATTTTTTTATTTTTAAGGTCTCTTTTTGTATTTTTTCTTGTATTTTAGTGTAAAAATTTTTACATTAAAAGGCGTGTACAACAAATGATGCTAGTGCCTTGTCAATTATCAATTATATTACTCACTCAAGTGATTTTTTTTGGCCACACATCCAAGTGATATTCACTTATTTAGAAGCTATGTTATTAGGATTAAAATATAAACGTTTACAAACTAACCAGATTGATTTTTTTTGCAACGATCAAAATTCTTTTTTTTTTCCTGAATTCAAAATTCAAATAATACATTGCTCAACCTATTTTTTTTTTTTTTAGAAAACGGATGTGTATTTTAAAATTTAAGCTAAATTATGTACAACCTCCCTAAAAGTTGGACCTTATATTAAAAAAAAAAAAAAAACCCTACAGCCTTTAAAACTTTACAATGGACCTCTCAAACTCTTATATTTATACAGATAACTCTCATATGACTTTGTACATTACATATCTACACATTAATTTTTCTTCTTTTGCCATCATGCCAGTCAAATTTTGAGGGATCATACGTACGCAGATATAAAATTTAAAGGATATATAATTGACATACAAGGCACGACTTATTATTACTATTAGGTTTTAAATGCTAAGAGAATTATTTGTATTTTTTTATATAATACAGTTAAACGCAAGCACACACAAATATATCAACGCCGGATTCACATTCAGAACTCATCTAAGTATGGGGCAATTAGCCATTGACTTGAAGTGTAGAGGAGATTTATATGATTTAGTCTAAAATTAATTATAAAAACGTTGCTGAGGCAATTTATAAGTGAACTGAGGTCAATAAATGATTTAATTATATGTTTTCTGTTAAAAAAAGAAGAAATTATATATTTTCAGACCTATTGAAGTAAAATAAACATAAAAGACCACTCAACCACCTCGCCCGTTTCACCATTCCATTTCCTTCCCCTCCATCCCTCCATTCCTGCCTCCTTCCCTCCTCCTCTCTCTCTCTCTGTGAGTGAGGAAATTGTAAAAGCCCAAACGCTCCTACCAGCAACTGCAAATTCAAGAAACCAATCAAATCAGCTCCACCACTCAATGTGGCGGCGGCGGCTCAAATCGACGACGATTCGTATTCCGACCACCCCTACCACCACCTCGTCGTCCCGTTCCTTTACCTTCTCTCACTCCTCTTTCAAAGACATTCAAACTTTATTCCTAGACGAAATCCCCTCGAACTCCATTTTCCACCGCCGCCTCAGCCTCCTCCGTCCCACATTACCCCTTCCCGCTCCTCCTGAAGCGGACCGCCGCGTGGTGGTCTACTTCACCAGCCTGCGCGTGGTCCGGTCGACGTTCGAGGACTGCAGGGCCGTCCGATCCATCCTTCGCGGGTTTCGGGTAAAGATGGACGAACGAGATCTGTCCATGGATTCCAGATTCGTGATGGAGTTGCAGGGAATCATGTGCAAGACGGGGATGAAGCTGCCTAGTGTTTTCATTGGTGGGAGGTACATCGGTGGGGCCGAGGAGGTTATCCGGCTGCACGAGAGTGGTGAGCTCAAGAAGCTCATGGAAGGCTTGCCCGCAGCAGATTGCTCCCTGTGTGACGTGTGCGATGGTCATAGGTTCGTTCTGTGCGACGTGTGTGACGGTAGCCGCAAGATGTATACACTGAAAGGTGGCTTCAAGAATTGTGCGGCTTGCAATGAGAATGGTCTCAGCAGGTGCCCTTCTTGTTCTTTGGACAACTCATACTAAGCCCAAAAAAAAAAAAAAAAAACTGTTGGAAAGCAATTAACAATATGTTTTGGAATTATTTTTGCTGGGAAATTATGATTAAGAATTTGTATAGGCCCAAGGTTTGACCCCTGGATTAGTATTATTCTTGTTTATTCTAATATTAAGCTAATATAATTTTGGTCAGATTACGTTTTTAACTTCAAGTTTCATCTTTGTTAACACTTTATTTAAATTTAACGAGGGCTACCAATGCTTGATAAAGTCAGAAAGTGTAGTTTAGTCCTTTAATTTTTTACAATATTTTAATTAGGTTATTTATTTTTTAAAAAATATCTTTCTAATCATAAGTAATTATTGTTATTGAAAAAAATAAATTTAATATGGCAGTTTTTTTTAACATTTAAATTTTCAATGCTTGTTTCCTTTGGCAGCCACATTATGGTTAAATAACCGAGAAGACACTATATAACACTACGGAGTCAAAATGAAATTTTGTGTGAAGTTAAAGAATTAACGACGTACTTTTATCATCATTTATGAATAGTATATAGATTTAGATAGATAATTTAATTTTCTTTTTTAATTTTTTAATATTTTCTTTTTCCTTCTATCTCTATTAGAATGCTTTTTCATGGACAAAAAACAATTTATTAAGATCTTAGTATAAAACATCTCTATTACAATGTTAACTCTATCTGTGAATTATGTTAGTTTTAATTATATAATGTGGTTCATTTCTTTTTTATGCATTTGTGGGTTTAATCCAATCTCTTAACATTTTGCTCAAGAAAAAAAAAATCGATCTCTTAACATTATTCTTGTTCTAATCTAAATCAAGCTTTTTTCATTGCAAAAGGGAAGAAGTTTGAATATTTTTGAAAATTAATAGTCTAATTAAAAACGAAATAGAATGAAATGATTAAAAAAAACAAAATAAAATTAAGTGAGATGGTAAATGTATTATGATAAATATTTAAAAACCTTCGCTATGGTGGCTCCATATTTTACCATATTCACCTGCTGGTGTTTAAATGGATAAGGCCAATTATGGAGTAAGCGTGAAGTGCAATGAATTGAATTTATGTTTATGTATCAATTGAACTAACATTTATACGATTGGATAACAAAGCAGCAATTGTAACTTGTGAATATTGGCTGATAATTATTACTTTCTCCCATATATAATTTTTTTTCAGAAATAACATATTTCTATTTATAAGATACACGAGTATTGTCTAGATTTTTTTAATATCATTTTTCATTTTTACATTCATTGATTTTTAGTTTGTCTCTCCATATTAACAATCCGCTCACTACTTACTCTTTATAAATAAGGGTGCGTTTAAAAGGACAAAAACTTAAGTTAAATTACATATATCTATTATGTTAAGTTTTCCAATCATACATGGTCATGTGCTTTTTTTTATTTCATGTGAATTTATAATTAAATGCTAATATTTCAAAATAAAATATATGTTGATATGTGATTAAAGAAATTGACATAATGAATAAGGGACCTGGTGTAGGTGTTGTCCTTTTAAAAATACAAGTTATATTTTTTTATATGTTTATTGCATTTAATTGAACTAATTTATTTACGTAATTTCATTATCTATGTCTTATAAAAAGAATGACGTAATTTCAAATAACGACTCAAAGATAAATATGGTGACTGCCTACTAGTTTTGTTTTTGCAAATTTGTCTTCACTGAAACTGATAATTAACATATTTTACTGGGTGAGAAAATTTTTCTGTTTGCGATATTACTTTTTAGAATGAAGCAACATGAAAGATGACACAGTAACAAAAGAAAGTGTTCCCTCCTTTCTCTTTCAAATTCTGATCATTTGTCCTTCTCCATTTGGATGGCCAAACAAAAGCAAACTTTTCTTCAATAACATATAATAAACATTACATATTTTTTTAGAGGGGTTAGGTACTATGCTTTATGAGGGTTTACCTAATGTAACCAAAAAATAATAAAAATAAAAATAAAATTTGTGATTAAATCAAGAAAAAAATTATTTCCAATTTTAGTTCTATCTTCTATGATTGAGATTGCCGGGTAACTAATCTTCACTTTTAATTAATATCATTTTATCTTTTGTTTTTTAAAGAAAACACGAACAAGGCGTCACGAAATTTGTTGCAAAAGCAATGTGATTAATTATGTTATAGATATGTGACAAATTTTCTGTTTTATTGTATTATAGTTTTATAAAGTTTAAAATGAGTTATGCTAGCTACTTGACCAATGACACTTGGTTTAGATGATTAGGGTTATAATATAAAAGTAAGTACAAGAGGGAGGGGCAAGATTGCGTGTGGCCGCACATCACACACACACACACACATAAACGCAGATTTTATATAATTAAATATACCTACGCATATGAATATGTTAATATCAAGCTTAAGCATAAAATCTAGGCATAACAAATGACATTACTATTAGAACAACCTACCATTGATATATATATATATATATATATATAAATACATATATATATCTAAACGCTAAATGAAAATGAAATACTGAGACGATATTTGGAATGAAAAAGTATTTTTTTAAAAGTACTTTCACTTGTGAGTTGAGACAAAAAACTTTTTTTTACACATATAATTAATTTTAAAATTATGGTTTGGTTTTGGTCCAAATACTCCTAAATCTTTTATTATGAGTAAACAGATGAATATTTAATAAAAATTAAAAATCAATAGGATATATATATATATATATATAGCCAGTCATTATTGTTAGTAATGGAGGCAAAAAATCATGTAGCTAAGGACTTTTTTTTTCCTGAAATAAAAAAGCTAATGCAGCCTTTTGCTCGCTTGTGGCTTTTAAAAGTAAGGTGTTGATTGAATTCCATCCGTCACTTTTTTAAAAGTTGCTACCACTTTTAGACTTTTTTTCCCCAACACTTCTAGACTTTATTGTTACCTCATAAATATATTTTATCCATATTTTTATAAACATTTTCATTTGATTTGTCTAGACTCCAAGCAGATTAGCTATAGGGCAATTTTAACTATTGAATTAACGAGCCTCGCAAAAAAAAAAAAACAAACGAAGCATGCAGAAATAATTTATGAAGGATCTATTTGGAAAATTAGTACTTTTTGTGAGATGCACAAAAATATTACTTTTCTTTTCTTTTTAAAAATACTATTTCCAGTCTTATTTATAAGACCTCTTTTGTAAGGACAAGAGATAGCATTACTCTTCTCTTTGTATCTTGAAACAAACACACACTTTAAAGTTAAGTATTTGAAGTATTGGTGTAGCCATTTGGTTAATGGTTTGGTATTTTCTTTTTTTCTTTCCTTTTTGGGAATGTGCAAAGGGAAAGCAACCCTCCAATCCTAGTAATAGGTAAGGTATCAATGACATATTACTAGGTAGATTAGCATAAACTCACATATAGGATAATTGAACATGCCTAAATCAACAGTTAGTTAAATATTCTGTTTGTACTTATTTAACTTGACTTTGAAAGATTTTAGAAAAAGCACTCTTCTTATTCCTATAGCTAGGTTGACAATGGCGTATTACTAGAGATTTTAACATAAACTCATCTAGAAGGTTAATACTTATACTCCCATCCGTCTGCAGTATGAGATAAGAGATGGACAATTCTTATAATAAGTCACTTAATATAGACCCTAATTGTAGAGTTGATTTTGGTCCTAAATATAAGACCTATTTCTTATGTCTATTAATTTTTTCCAAATCACCCTTATTGATACTTCCTCAACTATAATCAAGTATGAGAGGTGGGGAGGATATAATGAAGATGATTAAAGTATTTTTTTTAAAAAAAACATGTCATATACTCATATTTATTATAGTTAATTAACTTATCTGACTTTCTTAATCTAATCAAATTAGTTAAATAGGTTTTATATTAAGAACCGGATGAGTACAAATATGAAAATCTCTATTTATATATGGGTAAAATCAAAATTTTATTTTATTCTAAATCAGAGTTAATGACTTAACTTTTTTTTTTTTTTTTAGTTCTACCGAGTTAATTAGAGATGCCTTATAATTTTAGTTACATAACTAGTCTTTGAATGTCTGAGGAATTTTTTATGGACCCGCTAAATAAGACTTTATATGATTTTAGAGACATTCAAACGAGCTCCCTAAATGAGGCGAAGTTTTTGTCTATGTTGTGTTTCTCTCTAAATTCTCATAAAACTTTACATTCAACCAGTGATTTCTAGACAAATCATAATTAGATTATTATTTTTATTCTGTATATTTTCTTTTGTTGCATAAAATCCGAAATGTCCTGCCTAAATTTGAACAGTCTAATATGCTAAGTGTAGTAGTGGGCCCATAACCTACTGTTTCTTGTACTAAAACTAGGCCCTGATACAATAAATGTAACACCTTGCCTCTATGTATTAGTAGCGTATTTTATTTAACCTCGAACAATTAAAAACCAGGCTTCACCCTAAGAAAAACCAATTTTTTTATCTTTTCCCAAACACAGGTTTTTGGTCCTATTTAAGGAATGAAATTTTCTAAAAATTTAAATTTTTCAACAAAAAAAAAAAAATTACTTTCAAAACAATATGTTAGTGGTTCAAGTACATAATCTAACTCTTTTTACAAAACTTGTATAATTAACTGAAGACCATGGCTCTAAATCTTGCTCTCCCTTTTCATGCAAAAAAGGTTAATCTTGCTTCCATTTATTTTTAGGATTAATATCATTATCGGTCAGTTTAATCCAAGTTTAGTTTTAGTTTTGCTTACCATTTGATCCAAGTTTAGTTTTAGTTCCTCTAGTATCATATGGTTGGTTTTGGTCTTTATAGCTTCATAAGGATTTAATCTAACTTTTAAGTACAAGGATCAAGACCAACAAACTTATTAAAAATATAAGAATTATTCGTTAGACTTAGATACAAAAAATTATGAAATTAGGAATCAAAACCAAGAATTTGAAAGTGTATTTAAAAAAAAGGAGTAACGTATAAATTCAACAAAAAAAATTGTATCTTATAGACAGGATGGGAGAAAGTATATTCAAATTGAGCTATTTGAGCTAACTTTACCTTAACAACACGTATTAATTGAAGTTGACTCATAATCAGTTCATGTTTGACCAGCATACTTCCGTTCAAATGATTTTGATGAATTTATTTAAATAATTAACATAAAAATGCTAATCAGTTAAATAAACAAAAGTCCTCTCTAAACGGTCGGGTACTTTACTTTTTGATGATGACGACTAAACTTATATTTGTATTATTTAGTTTGAACTCTGACGCTTAATTTGCTACCTTAGACGTTTATTTAATTCATGGTCTTTTAGAGATTTTATATGCGTTATTATATGAAGAAACTCACTTTTTGGGGGGGGGGGGGAAGGTTACGTGGGCTTGACCCTGAACCCAATCAATCCGGCGGAGCTTGAGAAAATGACAAAATTTAGAGTATTTGGGCTTATAGACTTGAGCACATACGAGTTAGAAATTTAGAGTCATGCAAGCCGAGCGAAACTGCTCCAGTGTCTTTGCTTCCATTAATTCTAATACTAGCTCCGGTTCTTAATATAAAATCTTATTTGATTTTTATTTTGATTCTAATATAAAACTTTAATCTACTTTTTTTTTTATATTTATATATTTTTTTTCTAAAGTAGCCTTTCTAATAATAATATTTCTAGTCAATACACTTAATTAGTAAGGATATATAACTCAACTTACTTTCTTAATCTCCTCAAATTAGTCAACTGGTTCTTATAATTAGAACCAGAGGTAGTATATACTAAACATATAATAAATGAGAGTTTTTTTTTCTTACAAATTAAATGAGGGCAAAGTGCCCAAAAATAAAATCAGGACTAATCTATGTGGGGGTTGAATCCTATACAATCGCTCTGGCACAGCGTCCTCAAATGAGACGGACAAACATCAACAGAGGTTGTAGAAAGTCCCTCCTCCAGTCCTTTGCTCAGGCATCAGCAAGAATGCAAGATAATTATGTTTTCTAGGAATATTATGGGGTGTAAATTTCTTTATTTTTTTACTCTTTTTTTTTTTAATGTCCTTTTGTTTGTAACTCAAGATACTTTCAAGTTACTTTGAACTTGAAATTAATTCCTGTCGGGGCAGAAGCATTTGATTTTAAAGCTCTCAAATAAATGTGTTTCTCAGAATTTAAATCTGTGTTCTTATTTCTATGGGGGTAAGGTTGCTTGTCACCTTAAGCAACAGCATGTTAGTTACTCTTCTTTATGTCTTATTTCTCTTGCTTTTATTTCAATTTAATTCTCATAAATATTTTTGTCGGATACATTGAACAGTGAGGTTCATGTATCTCACTATCTCTGTGGGACCCATATGTATAGAAATAACATTCCTGCCTATTTCTGTTACTTTCTACAAGTTTATAACAACATACATTTTGCATATGTATACCAACTCATTTTAGCATTCTAAATCTCTCCATATAACTCAGTCTTCTCTTCTTCTCTTATAGTGTTCCAAATCTCTTGTCTTGTTCCATATTGCCATGGCTCTTGAACACCCCCGTGATGAAGGTGATTTAGATGATATTGCCAACGATGAAGGCATACAAGCAGCTTCAGGGTCGTTTGAAAAATCTTCAAAATCAAATAGAGCACTCACACTTTGCCATTGCGATGCTTCCTTCGTTTTGTTCAACATTCACCTTCTCCAATCCTTCAATGGATGATTCACATGCGGGATTATTCAATCTCTGCCCTTCATTTTCATTCATTATTGTCACATTCATTTTCATTCATTATCGTCATATCTTCATTTTCGTTCACCGTCATCATTTGCTCCACATACCTACCAATATCATATGATCATTTTGGATGTGTTGGCTTCTTTTTCGAATATCACCAGTCAACTTGATCTTGGTAAGTTTGTGGAGCAAATGATGAGGGTGAATGGAAATGAAGATATGACGATAATGAATGAAAATGAATTTGATGATAATGAATGAAATGAAGGTCAAAGATTGGAAATCTTGCAAATGAATCATCCATTGGGGGATTGAAGAAGGTGGCTGTTGAACAAAAGGAAGAAATAACAATGGCAAAGTGTGAGTGTTCTATTTGCTTTGAAGATTTTTTAAAGGATTAAAAAGGCATTTTTGGCCGGAAGTTTTCACATAGGAACTGTAGGTAATTGGAATTTTTTTTTTTGGGGATTAATGTGACCTCAGAAGTGGCAAAATTCTCCGCCGCCACTCAGTTGCGATAAAACTCCCCTACTAAGCTACTAGGATTCAAAGCCATGAGTGTTGCCTCCCTTCCTATCGTTAGATCTCTATGAACCACTCTTCATCAACACCATGAATGCTCTCCATGACTCAATGACTTCAAGGTCTCCAAGCCATCATCAACAAAATGAGAAAAGATTTTTGTATCTCATGGAAATATTCAAATCAGATTTATAGAGCAATTCCATGGAGATCTCCACATAGTTTGGTATGGTGTTTCACAGAACAGCGTTGCCGATACAGCACGAAGTTAAAGACTCAGTTTTGGGATTGATCTAACCAGAAAAACAATAATGGATTTAGATGGCCTGGTTGTTCAAGCCCCTTGTTCTCTCTCTTCATCATTCTTTCTTTACATTCTTTTCCAATGATTATTTGAGGAGCAGGAGAAAATACAATTTTGTTTTTTAAATTTTCCTACTTAACTTGGTGGTTTGATTTGATTATTTTTCTTGGTCGCTTGATGAGTTGATTTGGTGATTTATTGTTATTATGATGATTCATTCATGATTTAGTGGCATGATTTACTTTTCTTTCTTTTTTTCTAGTGGCTTGATGATTCATTTTTGTGATTTTGCATTTTTTTTTACTCTTTCCCATATCTTTGTTGGAGAAGAAGGTGCAGTTTTTTTTTAAAAATAATTCTTTGAGTTTTTCCAATCTAGAAGGAACATTGAATTGACCTTTGTACATTGCCTCATCCTTTATGAAACGGGTTTCTATCCCATATCTCATCCCATATCAAGACCATCTTGGTCTTGTCGAGATTGGAATGGAACATTCTGTTTCCTTTTTTTACAACAAAAAAATTGAAATTTTTTGTATTGATTTTTTAAGTGATAATGTTTGTTTTTCATTGGATTTCTAAAGACAAAAACATTATAAAAAAATTATATAAAAAGCTCAATTATATAATATAAAAAAGGTGTAAAAACAATACTATAAAAAAATTGCCATACACGAAACACTGTATATTAGCTTTATGAGTTATTTTATTGAGAAAGGAAATTTTGTTGAGACGAGATGGGACAACCTTGTCTCATGTCTCGTCTGGTTACTGTTCTGTCCCATCTCATAGTTGCCCCATCTCAAGATTTTTTTTTTTGTCTCATCATGTCCTGGATTGATCAGATCCAGAATGAAACAAGTTGAACACCCCTAATATGAGTGTTTTGAGCTATTAAACTGAATGTTTATGAGGATGAAGCTTCGTTATTCGTTGAGTAAAACAAAATGCAAATTTTTTTTTTTTTCTAACTAAAAAATATGACATTTCTCCAGGGGGGGAAAAAAATTTCAAGTGCCCATAGCTCCTCTACGAAATGTTCTGTGGCAAAAATGGATCTCAACCCTTTTTCAGATGACCCTGAAACTGATCATGTGCCTCGCTTGCATTTATTTCACACAAAATGCATCACTTGCGATATTGTTTAAATCACCTTTATTATTGGGTTCTTCAGGATTCATGGCAATATGGAACAAGACGAGAGCTTTGGAACGTTATAAGAACTGAAATTTATGAAGAGATTTAGAACGCTGAAATATATGAGTTGGTGTACATGTACAAAATGTAAATTGTTAATTTGTTATAGACTTGTGCAAAGTGATGGAAGTCGGCAAAAGCGTCATTTCCATACATATTTGTCATTCCATTTCTTTTACTTCCTCTTTTCCGGCCTGTCAGATCTGATGGGTCCCCTAAATTTATATTTGGATTCAATTCAAATTTATCATGTAGCCCATCTATTCGGCCCATCATATTTTTATATGGATCCAGGTGTCAGATTCCACGATCCATATTTTAATATATATCTTCTCATGAACTTTTACCTTCAATCTGTAATTTCTAAAAATCCATAATTAAATGATTCTATTTACTCTTCCCATTTTCTTTCATTACATAAATTCTGAACTGCCCTACTTCAATTTGAATTCTCCAAGTCTTCTGTTGTAACAATGAAATAACGATACATAATTCATATTGCCACATACATTTTCATTGCCACACAAGAAATTAAAGGCAAGTCTTACATTTATTTATTTTTATCTTCGTAAAATCCCAGTCTGATTGATAATGAACACTTTTCGAGTTATCATGAAGACGTAAATAAAAGTCATTTTACCATCCGATGGGCAATAGTAAATTTTTCCCTATAAATCTTATTTGAATTTTCAGTATATTATTGTACTCCATATCTATTCTAAATATAAGTTACTTTCCACCGGAACAAAGAAAAATGGATAATTATTAAATCTGTCTTAAATTAAAACACAAAAAAAAACTTTGCCCATATTCAAATGTGTCTCACGTCTCTTCTCTTTTTCAATATCCAATATGTACCACCCATAAATCGGCAAAATAGGGCAAAATTTAAAAATGATAATTAATACTGTGGAAATATGCTAGAATTAATATTAATTAATTAATTAATTAATTAATTAATTTTAGCATATTTCCACAATACTTTGACCCCTTCTTGTATATTTTTCTTTAGTTTTTTATTTGAATTTTTGGGGTTTATATTCCATTTCAAATATCTTATAATTGAAGAACTTCGGCGGAGGGGTCATTTTATTTTTAGATCTATTTATTATGGACCAAGGATTTCTTTTGGAATGCACCCTATGTTTTGGATCTGAGAGATCATACTATAAAATGGACGTATTAATTTCATGAAGATAGAGATAACTAAGGACAAAGAAACAATGTGCAAGTGATGAGGAAAATGAGAAATTCAAAAAGAAAGATAAAGATTATCTTATTCAATAACCCAAGAATAACATCAATCTTATTCAAAACACACATTTCTCCACCCAAGGACACCCTTACTTGTAATCTCAAATATATAATTCCTAATCAATAAAGGGACTTCATGACTCGAAATCATCACAACAATTAGAAATTTTATTTTATTCGAACGTTGGGACTCATAAAGGCATTCATGAAGGAAAGAAAGAGAGATGCTCAATGGTGACCATTGAGGCCATTTTTGGCAGCTTCATTTGCAGAGGATTTGGTGCTTTGTGTGTAGTCGACAACATCGGCAGTGACTAAGGTCTTGTTGGCAGCATTGTGGACTCCCCATGCAGCTCTCCCTGATGGGTCCAAATTGTTTGCCCACTCTGGCACCCAATGAAGAGCCTTCGGCGTGCAACATGCCACTGTTGGTTCCCATGGTATGGTCTGCCTCGCAGGTTGCTACACATCCCAACCAAACACCATAGCACAAGATTAGTCAAATGAACCAACAGGGTCGGGTCAAGTAGTAATCAAGAGACTCAGTACCCTTTAGATAAAAACTCAAGTTTGAGCCTTGTAAACAAACAAAAAAAACTCATATTTAGATCCTATTATAAGGAATCCAACTAGTTTGACCCAGTCGGACTGATATCCCCTAAAGGGGGTAAGAGTCTCAGAGTGAGGGCTTTTTTCATCATATTTATGGATTGAACTTGATACCTCTAATTAATAGGCTAAAATACCTACCACCTCAACAAACCCCACATTGGTAACAATTTTTTTTTGGGTGACAACCACATTGGTAACCATTAGTTCATTTGATTTCACTATAAATAATTACTTTTACGATAAAATTCTTTTCACATATTTTATTTTGTACATTGTAAATACGTACCCACTTGTTTGAGTTCTTATTATATTTTCTCTTACTAGATGGTGAAGCTATCAAAAGAGAGACTTGAGTTGAGATTTTAGGGGAATCACCTTAGGGAAGATTTTCTCGAAGATCATTCTGTAGTAATATGCTTCTTTGGTAGCCGGGGTGTGAAGTGGGTAGGTACGCGCAGCATTAAGCATCATTTTGTCAGTGACCTAGTTATTATAAGATCAAAAGAGACGTTATTAGGTTTGTATCATTTAAAATAAATAAGTAATAAAAGGAAAAGGACCAATATAATTAACAATTAATTAATCAATTAATCAATAGAGATTTACGTGTTTGGCAGCATGTTCCCTGAGGGCATCGATCCAGTTATAGCCAACACCATCACTCATTTGCTCCTTTTGTCTCCACAAAATATGCTGCGCACCCATAATTAATTAATTAATGAAGAAGTTCCCAAACATTATTTGAACTGTCAATTAATTAACAATTAACTAGATATTTAATTTTTAATTACAGAAGCCATGAAATTAAGTCGAAGCCTTTTGTGTACCTGTGGGAGATAGGGGCGTTCCTTGTCATCAAAGGCATTCCTAAGAATCCACTTCTCAATTCGTCTGTGTCCAGACTGGTATAATATATAATATTCACAAAACTTAATTAAAATCAAAATTAAATCCCACTAATTAAAAAAAAGAAGATTTAATCTTAATTCTTATCTTACCATCTTGAAATCAGGATCAATGTTCATAACAACGTTTACAAATTCCTTATCCAAATAAGGGAATCGAGCCTCCAGTCCCCAAGCAGATGTTGCTTTGTTTGCTCGTAAGCAATCATATTGATGCAGAGCCTTGATCTGAATTTTTGAATCACACGATTATCTCTGTTAATTATTTCCAAACATAATTAAAAATAAATAAAATATCATGTTTACACGCACACACACACACCTTGCGGCACATTTCTTGGTGGGCTTCTTCCTTATTGGGTGCCTTGTGAAAGTACAAGTAGCCGCCAAAGATCTCATCTGAACCTTCTCCAGACAGGACAACCTTGATCCCATGTGATTTAATCTTACGAGAGATCAGATATGTGGGGATGCTTGATCTCACAGTTGTTAGTTCGTAGGATTCAATGTGGTAGATCACATCTTCAATGGCATCAATCCCATCCTGCAAATGGTAATTAAATTAATTAGGTAATTAATTTAATAGCTTTAAAATTTTAGCATATGACATAATTGATTAATAATATAATTGTAATACCTGAGGGGTGAAATGGAACTCATGATGCACTGTTCCTAAGTAATTTGCTACCTCTCTCCCAGCTTTCAGATCTGGTGATCCCTGCTCAAACAAATCCAAAACAAGAAAAAAGTTAAAAATTACAAGAATCCGAGGACCAATACTTTAATATTTGTGTGTTAGGGTTTTATTCAGCCTAATGACACGAAACGCCTTCTTAAAGTCTTTTTTAAACGTAAAGTTGTGAGTTTGTAATTTCTGTAGTAGATATAATAGATGTGTGAGTTGTGACAAAATGATACCTTATAGTATTTGCATGGAGTTTAAGATCAAATGAGTTGCATTGTTTATGATTTGTGAATTAATTAATGATTTGTAGGTTATTTTTGTGGATCAATATTAAATAATAATAATAATAATAGAAGAAGTGTGGGTTTTAATTTGTGTATAGGAAAGGCACCTCAAGGCCAATGCAGAAGGAATGGATGGTGGTGCCAAGCTGTTTGCCTGCTTTGGTGTCAGCCAAGTAACGAGCAGTGATGGAAGCAACCAGTGATGAGTCCAAACCTCCAGACAATAACACACCGAAAGGCACATCTGTCATCAACCTCTTTATCACAGCCTGTCACACAGCACAAATTTTTAAATGCCGACACCCTATCTCAAAAACTACTTCTCTAATCCTATTTATAAGTTATTTTCAATATGTTTCATATAGACTAAGAAAAAATTTAAACTTCATTAACTCTCATTTAAAATTTAATAACTTTTCAACTTTATCTCTATTTAATATACATTATACCTCATGTAAATAAAGTCAACACAATAATAAATGAGGGGTAAAATTGTACATCTATACAAAAAATTTCTCTCAATGCCTTATAAATAAGACCAAAAAAATGTATTCTCTTTGCGCTCTATAAATAAGACCAGAGGAGTAGTCTGTTATATTTAGTGGACGGATCCTCCTTAAACTTATAAATCCCACTTCATTTGGAGGTTTCCTGATGTTGGGGGGAGTTTGGTGTCCCTCAAAAACATTTTAAACTCCTCTCATAATCCAAACACGCACTCAAAATAATGATACAGAATTTGTTCATATGTACCTTCTCAAGGGATGTCCTGAGAAGCATGGGGTCATAAGGGGTCGAAGGAATGGCCTCAGAGAACCATGGAGGATTGTACCATCTGCGAAACCCTTTGTCTTTGCTGGAATACAAAGTCCCAGGCTGAAACCTCTCGTAGTGCTCACAGTCTTCGTGCATTGTCTTGTATTCTGATGAAACCCAACACGAGGCTGCCCAAATAATTAAATAATTAATTAATTAGTCAAAGCTAATTAATGATGATGAAGTGATATTATTATTCATGATCATATATATATGTATAATTAATAATTAATTAATTACCATCTTCAGCCCAGCCAATGTAGAGGGAAGTGATTCCAATGGCGTCTCGAGCAACCAAGAAGTTGTTGGTACGAGTGTCCAGCAGCACGAAGGAGAAAATGCCATCAAGCATGTCCACAAAGTTCTCTCCATACTCTTCATACTGATATATTTATATATATATCGGGAAATTAATTATATATTAAGCTTAATTAATTAAATATAAAAATAAAGTTTGTTTTAGATTACTATAATTAAAATTATTACCAGATGGGCAATGACTTCACAGTCGCTGTTGGTTCGGAATTTGTGGTTGGGCAACTGTTTCCTCAGGTCTTCATGATTGTATATTTCTCCATTCGCCTGTTTAATATTTCAGTATATAAAATAAAAAATGGAACACAAATATATATTACGAGTTGATAGATATGTATACACACACATACTACCTTCGATCCTTAATATAAAAGTTTGTTTGACTTTTATTTTAATCTTCAATATAAAATTTCAATTTATTTTGTTTATCATATTTATCTATTTTTTTTCCTAGACAATCTTTTTAATAATAGTAGTTTTAACCAATACACTTGATTAGCAAAGATATTTTACGAAAAAAATACTTATTTATTACAAATAACTAATTTAATTAGTTTTTTTAATTTACTCAAATTAGTCAACTAGTTCTTATATTAAGGATCGGAGGTAATATTTAGGTAATATTTATACTACCACCTCCAATCTTTGATGTAAGATTTATTTCACTAATTTGAAGAAGTTAACGAAGTTACTAAATTACTTTAAAATATTTATATTTATCGTTTTTCTTCAAATTAATTTGTCTCACTTATAAATTGATATTTAATCTAATGATATACATAAGTATTTTAGAGAAATTATGTAACATATGTTATAATTAAGTAATTGATTAACTTTATTGATCTTTTTAAATTAGTTAACTGAGTTTTATATTAAAAGTCGGAGGTAATAAATAATATATAAGAAAGAGCAGAAGTAAGATTATTGAAGGGGGAGAGAGACTGACAATGACGGCGATAGAGTTGTCTTCATTGAAGAGAGGCTGATCTCCCGAGGTGAGATCCACAACGGCCAATCTCTGATGAGCCAGAAAGTTGCCTTCGTGTTGGAACACTCCGATCCAGTCTGGACCACGATGCTTCAGCCTGCACCCATCTCATCAATTTCCATCTCCATCACAATCCTACTCTAATTTATTAACCAAAATAAATTAAATTTCCAATAATTTTGCACTTATTTAAACTCATGTTTTCTTTTATTAAGTATCTATCAAATGTGAGCACCTCTTTAATTTAAAAAAATAATTTCTTGAGAAACTAGTTTGTACTGCTAGTTGATCTAACACCATTGGTTATTTAACTCAAACACACTTAAATGACAAAAAGAATCAAATGAAAAAAAGAGTAATTGAAAAGGGATCATACTAGAAGCTGTAGTAAATACTTCCTCTGATCTTTATAATCGGAACTATTTATTCCTTCTATATAGGTACCTCATAAAAATGTCTAGAGGAAATTTTCTGTTAAAAGTTGTTGTATAATTGAAATACAAATGCAATACTTTTATTATAGTACTTAGCCAAAAGTAGAAATGGGTAAACCGAACCATGTCAGCGGGCTTGCGTAAAAATGGCAAAGAAGCTAATGCAATTAATGCTGTAAATTCCGGCTAAACTTGAATTCATGATAATACATATATATGCATAAAAATAATGATGGAATTTGATGATAATACATATAAATATACACATAGATACACTCCTTATAATCCTTATTATAAAAGACTATTAGCTAATTCACATGTACCAATAAAAATAGTCAAAAATTGTCATAAAATTCAAATGATTTCTAACATTACCATCATTATTTACTATACTAAATTCCAACGTCATTAATTTTCACTGTCCCACAATTCTTCTTAAATATGGATATTTATTAAAAATATATTTAATGCTCATTCAAACTACCATAGAATCTAAACAAAAATGATGGAAAAAAATTCTTCTAGAAGAGGTTTTATAATAAGGATGAGAAGAAGGATGTGTGTGTGTATAGTGACACACAAAGATGTGAAAGATCGGAAGGAAAAAGAAATTGCCTTTGAGCAAGGTGGATGATGCGAGCCCGTTTGGCTGCAGAATCATCAGAGCACCAAAGACAAGCCAGAATGCCACACATGGTTACGTTGTTTGGATGCACAAGTGAAACAGAAAAAGTTGATGTGTGTGGCTTTTCTCCCTCTTTTGCTTCCACACAAATAAAAGAGAGAAAAGAAAAGCTTGAAGATTGGTGTGAATTTGAGTTGGGAATGAAGCCTCCTATTTATAGTGCTCCACACAACCTCCTGCAATCGCGGTGCTCATTTCCCTATGCATTGCTGACCGGCTACCCGTTGTTTCTGTATTATTCATCATTATTGAGGAAAAACACACTATTACTCCTTTACCTTTATATATGATTTCAATTTGGTTTCTTATAGTTTTACAAAGTATATTTTTAGTTTCTTAACCTTCAAAATATTAAAAAAATGATAATAATAAAATTTTAAATATTGATAAAAGATACTAAAAAATGAGCATATTAATTTTGGTTTTCAAAACAATTATAACTGTTATAAAAAATCATTATTTAAGTGTAGTGATTTTAGGATTAAATGACTAAAAGTATATTTTTTAAATTTTAGGAACCAAACTAAAATTTTATATAAAGTTAAAAAACTAAATGTATACTTTTACCCTTTCTTTAATGTTTATGAGATCGAATAATTTTTTTTTTTTTTTTACACTTTACAAGATATAATTTCTATCACATACTTATCATACATAAGACAAAATCACTTAAAAATAAGTTAATCTAAATGCACACTAAGTATCCTTATATATATGTGTGTGTTTCAAAATCAACTATGAATTGTTTGGCCAAAAAAAAGAAATCAATTATGAATTTGAAACCAAACCCTCCATATACATGCCAAAATCATGTTTATCTCATAAGTTACCAGTATCAACTTCTCAATTTTATAATTGACAAGGGGTGTTAAAATAACGACGATTTTGTTTTCCTTTACCTGGTGAAAAAAACTCACATACCCATGCTAGAGAGGGTCAAGCATACAAGTTTATATTAAAATATTACTCCCTCCGTTCCTTATTATAAGAGACAAATAACCGAAGTACGTTGATCAAAAAAACAGTTAAAATTAGTTAAGAACAATTAATGTGTAAAAAGTATAACTTTTTCCAAAAATGCCCTCATTAATAAGGAGAGAGAGCATGAGAGAGAATAATTAAATTATTAAAAGAAAGAGAAGTGGGAGGGAGAGAGAGTGTGAGTTGGAGATAATAAATATGGGTAAAATAGTAAATCAACACAAAAAAATAGAGACAACTTGTAAGTGTCTCTTATATATAGGAACATGCCATAAGCATCAAATGTCTCTTATAATAAGGAACGGAGGGAGTACTTCAGAAGGTGTTAAATATCAGCTAGATGACTCCAATAACCAATGTTCAGACTCTTTTTGTTTTTTTTTAATAATGAAAAGATCAAAATGCCATTAAAGATAACAAAAGTCGTTGAAGGAGACAAAGATTTAAGGAACCCTATGTGAAAACTAACAAAGCAGCTCAAGAGTTGTACAAGATCATCTTGTTTGATAATGTTGCTTGATCCTTCATTCCTTCCAGTGATTGCTTGCAAGAAGAAATATGCTTTTTTTGAAGCCCATAGGTCAAAGGTTTTTGATTCTTTATCAAATAAAGGAGCCGGAATAGGCCATCGAAGATTAGCTCTCATATACTTGAAGGCAAAGGAAGAATCACTATAAGTTAATCTTTTCCATATAAAATGTTGAACAGGTTGACTATGGAAACATACCCAGATATGACAAAAAGTGACCTCTTGATTAGATGTAAAAATCATATTATAAAAAAAAGATGAAGATTTAATCTCTTGGACAACCAAGTAAGGATCAGTAATTTTCTCCTCATGTAGTATCAAATTACGTTTCATCCATACAACATTAAGAAGGAAAATTACACATTGCAGCAAATGGCCATCATGATGCAACTGAGCCAGTGTAGTTTTTAACTATTGCTGAAAAATGGGCAGATTATGATGGAAAAAATTCAAACCACGCTACCCTGGTGAAAAGACAGCTACAGATTAAGTGAAGAAGAGACTCCTCTTTTTGACATCCAAAAAAACATTTCTCAGCCATTCAGACTTTGATAACCGATTATAAGAGAAATTAAAATATATCAGACAAGAAAATCACCTGTTGTTGGTGATATCTAAGTAAAGAAATGTCATACTTATAAGTTTTTAATTTTTTATTGATTGAGGCCCATCCTCGACAGGGGTACTGACGCCTTCTCTTCTCATACATAGCAACCACTCATCAATCTTGACAGAGTTGGATACGAATAATTTGATAATGTTATGATAAATAATTCCTAAAAATGATATATATAAATAAAAGTGGATCAGGGGTTAAAATAAAGGATGTGGAAATCCTACACACGCACATTAGTATATAGAATATAATGTGATAAAATAAAATAAGACATCCTCTGGTTTTTAGACTATTAAAAAATAAATATCATGACATTAGAATTACAAATACATGATAAAAATTGGAATAAAAAGATTTTTTTTTTCCATATTTAACTGTCAAAATTGATTTTTTTTTAATTTTTTTCATATTTAAGGTAAAATATATATATAAACCACTTTCATATTTTTTTCTTCCATTCATCATGCTGCTAAACAGAGATATTCTTGTTTTCTTGAGTAATATTTCTGATTTATGCTATTTATAATTATAATTAGATTTAAAATAAATAAATAAAGTGCCATGGTCACCCAATATACTTAAGATAAGTAGCATCAGTGAAGTGTGAATTTAATCTAATAGTTTAAATTGAGCGTCAAGAAATAGGAAAAATCTCTTAGGAAGATATTTAAGTAACCAAATAATAAGCAACCCAAATCATTATTTGGGTTATTGAATTTATCAAAACCTTAATCAGATCACATGACTTAAAAAGGAATTTTAAATTCGTATGAAATGACTATAATACTCCTTTTATTACAAACCTAAAGAATTTATGATTTTGTATCATTCTCATATTGCATAAGAGCTCTTACCAAGGAAACCTTGACGTCTACGCTAGAAATACAGAAAATCAATAGAGGAAGTAACGGTGAGTTAATTTTTATATTAAATATTACTCCCTTAATCCTGCAAATACGTTACATAAATAGAAAGTTGTTAATTTAGAATTGAAACATGTTAACTGTAAAATGAAACATATTAATTTTTAAAGTTGTATTGTGATTAAGTTTTATTTAAAAACTTATTGCAAGTGTTATGGAGACAGAAAGTTATGAGTTTTTATATAAATTAATTATTTGAGTCACATATTTAATTTTAGAAATGGATAGAAAGAGTATACTCCTATACTTTTATTTATAAAATATTTTCAATATATTTCATACAGATAAAAAAAAAATCTTAAATTTCATTAACTTTTTTTTAAAATATAATAAATTTTCAATTTCACCCTTATTTAATATATACATCTTTTAAAAAAACTATCTACATTATAATAAATGAATGACAAATTAATAAAATGATTTATAAATAAAATAAAAAAAGAACATTCTCCTTTTACCTTATAAATATATTAGAAAAGTACTCCCTCCGTCCCTTTTTATAAGTAATCTTAGACTTTATTACATAAATAAAAAAAGTTAGTTAAAAAAAAAAGCAAATGGGTAAAAATTAAAAGTTAGTTATTTATGAGAGAGAGTAGGAGAAAAAGAATAAGAAATTATTATAATAAAAAATTATAAAAAAGAGAATGTGTAATGAAGAGAGATGAGAATTTGAAAAATAAGATAATAAATATATTGAGTATTAAAATAAGTAATTAATAAAAATAAAATAGAAAATTTGAGATAAAAATTTAAAACAATTTATAAATATTATTTATATTTAGAAATAAAAATGATTATTGTTCCTTATAAAAGCGAGGAGTACAAATTAAAGTTTACAACCACGGTTTGACAAATCGAGGCAAATCCAATTGCATAACTTGGCGGAAGCAATTTGCCACGTTTTGGATTTATATTTGCTTGTGTCTTTGTCATATCGCTCAGCTCTGTTTAGTCATTTCTCTGGCAATTACTCTCGCTCTTTCTTTCAATGAGACTTCGTGGCCGCTCATTCTCCGCAACTCCCCACTGCCACAATTATTGTATGGTGTCTGTAGATGCTTCCTCCCCCCCACTGGTCAATACTCTCTTTTCTCCTTTTTATAAACACCAGATAACCGAATTATGTCCAGGTCAAAAAAAACAAAAAAAAGAAGAAGATAGCCGAATTTTGTAAATTTAAAAATAATTAAAAATAATTAAAGTGCAAGAAATAATTTTTTTTCAAGCACGTCCTTATTTTTTAAGGGACAACTAAAAGAGAACAGGTATAAAAAAAATGTAGTATGTCCAGTTGTTAACCTTTTTAATTAATGTAACATGTAAAATTACTAAGGGGTTAACATGGTAAAAATGCATTGATTATTCAGACAACCACAATTGAGATTTTATAAGAAAAAATATAAAAAAAGAAGAAGCTGAAAATACTAAATCCTAAATCAGATTTGGTAACGATACTTTATTTGATGTTGATAATACTGAATTTAGAAATAACAAATTATTGTTGTCATTTCTTATATGAGATTTAATAATTTTCAACTTCTTTTTTTTGTCATTTTGCTTTTATAAAAAAAAAAACAAGACAATTCAAATTTCAGGTTATTATAAAAAGGACTGAAAGAGTATAAGTTACTTTAACTATTTTATCAAAATTAAAGACAGATCACTAATTTATTAAATTTGTCCCGGGTTGGAAAAAAGATTTCTACTTTACCTGCTTCCTCTGGTCCATAATTTAAATCACTTTAACTAATTCATTAACATAAAAAAATGTACTACTCCATTTCTTATTATAAGATCTTTTTAATTAAATTACGCGGTTTAAGAAAACAGTTAAAATTAGTTAAAAACAATTAATATGTAGCAAATATATTTTTTCCAAACATACCCCTATATATAAACGGGTAGATGTGAGAGAATAATAGCAAGATATATGAAGAAAGAGGATATATTAAATGTATTGAATTAGGAGGTAAAATAAAAAACCTTGTAAAAAGAGATAAACCTATTCAAAAAGTTAAATTTTATAATAAGGATGGAAGGAGTACCGAACTCAT